AGAGATACTGGATTGTACATGTGTATATACATAAGTATGTAAGTACACGAGCGAACACTGAACGAGCATCGATCTAACTAAATAGATACAATTACCATCGATTATCCAATGTGCGCTTGGGCTTGCTATACGTTTCTCCGAGTTTATTGAGAGATTAGACAAATTTCTTGTCACCTTTAAAGTGAACCGAGTGAGTGAAGAAAAAAATAATAATACGACCAGCGCGATTTCGACTTAGAAAGTAAATACATAAAACGATTAGGTGCGCAGGGTATCGAAGGAACATACGTACGACCCTGAGATTCATCTTGCGGTTGAATAGAATCAGGTTGGCTATACGTATAATGTAACCGAAGACGAGGCTCCCGGCCATCCAAAGTTCGGAGGCCCTTTTCGAGCTTAATACGGATCATCCTACCTTTTATCCGTCTCGAATGAAAGATATACTTAACATTTACCGATCTAAACAGCCCTGTAGAAGACCTCTCTCTTCGTTTCAATATTCGTTGTGAATCTGCGCTGTAAATTCAATAGATCGAACACTGTGAGTAATCTCCTCCGTTGAATTTTTCCTGAGGTGAGGTGAGGTTAGGTTAGGTTTTCACCATACGTGCAATTGACGCGAATTCTCGCGGCTGAAAGACGGAGGAGAGAACGAGTGATTCGCGGAAGGAAGGAAGGAAGGAAGGAAGGAAGGCTAGAGCCGGTGCGAATTTCTAATCGTGAAATCTGAGCCGGTTTCGCTCGTCCGTGTCATTCCTATTCTTTACCCTTGTCCCCCTTTCTGGTTGGTTGTGTTAATATGTAGAAGAAATTACCAAATTTTCACGAGTCTTTCCATGCGAGAGATGGCGCGGGGCAACAGATTACGTACTTCTCAATGCGTTGCTTTCTGTGTACCTACATAACTACCGTACTATCGAGAGAATTTGCTCATTTATCACGACAATTACGATTACTTCTAATAATATGTAAGTATAAACAGACATGTACTGTCCGTTGGAAGGATCGAAGAAGTTAGTTAGTAGATGAGTAAATTGGTGAATGAATGAACGGGGGCCGATGGTTTCTGGCCCGTTGTATGTAGTCTGCCTCGCATGCCATCGTACATATATGTTATTACGATATCTCTGCCGCACTTTTATCTTATCCTTATAGTTCTTCTTGAGTAAGCACATTTATGGCGCGCTTCACTCGAGCGACCTCGGTTCTCTCTACTCGTACACGCGCGCACCTATACGCACGCACATTCTGCCACTCTTGCCCATTTTCTCTTCAATTTCATACATGTAGTATGCCTACACATTTAAAAAAGAAGCAAACATTCGTTAACCTATATTTACATGTACACGTGTGCAAGCATTTTTCTTTGATTACGCCTGTTCGCAACGCAATTTTTATAATTTCATAATTACAACGAGGATAGGGACAAAGCTCGATGAGTAACGATAACTGAATTCTAATATACATATATGTATGTATTTATGTATCCATAGCATCGATCTAATAGAAACGTAGAAAACTGCTTGTAAAAATGTATCGACTGTTGTGACAAGACCAACGCTGATTGCGAGCTGTGAATTCTAATGTATGCTAGGAAGACACACATATCCTACAAATGAGAAGAAAGGAAGGAAGATGTTTAATGTGAAAAAAATGACTGGATCCAGATACGCATTGTTGATTCCGTAGCTTACTTTTACGTTATTTGCTCGTGTTAGCTACTCAGGTTACTTGGCTAAGAATCTATCGCGTTAGAGATTAATCCGTGAGTCGACGTTGATATCGATCTCGATTTCGAGCAAGTGAAAATACGCGTGGCGTTAAAGTTTAAAAGCTCTGTGAGATGCGCGCTCCCATAGTGTGTATACATATATGTACCACTTTGTCCAATCGCCTCTCAATCGCCAAAACGGCGTCCTCCAAGTGCGAATGCACCACTTTCGAGACGTACAGCACCGCCTTTCTCTCCAACTCCCCTCTCATTTTTCTCTTCCTCCTCTCTCTCTCTCTCTCTCTCTCTCTCTCTCTCTCTCTCTCTCTCTCTTCGCCTTATTCTCCTCCTCCCTTTCATTGTTAAGTTCATGCATTCTACGCTACTTACCAATTCGTCTGTAGATCGATGTTATATAGAGTTGAACTAGCCAAGTTGTAAGTACTTAATACGTATAGTGGCTGAAATTGCACACTTACAATGTTACTGCGAAACGAATGACAATGCTTGATCATTTCTGTATACCTACATGCAAAAAATATACGGATTTTTCTGCCAGCGAGCAGATTCTCCCTTTCTCTCTTTAATATGGGACAAAGTTGGAATATAATTTAACAGAGGTACTCTCGTAAATGAACCCAGCAGATCACAGATGTTGTATGCGTCGCCCGATCGATCAATCGAACGAACGAAAGGATTCACGATTTTAACTGAGGGTTCGTTACTTTTTGCAGAGACTCGTTACGCATGGACTTTCGCGCCTTTTCGAGAAGCCACTCTCTTTCGCGTCCCCTTATGGCTTCTCTCGACTCGTTCTCCGAACCATCGGTATTACTATGAACATGGTGAAAAGGAAAAGGAAAGAGAGAGAGAGAGAGAGAGAGAGAGAGAGAGAGAGAGAGAGAAACATCTCTGGAACCGCACTCGTCGCGGCACGGTGGCGCCCGTAGGGCGCCGTCGCACACTCCCTACTGGCCGCTACGATCACAGACCAGGTATGTACTTTCAAATTTCCAGTTTCTACCGTCCAGGTGGTAAGATTAATTTTTTTCATTTCAACTTATTATCTCAAGTTAGACGGAGCGAGTTTATAGAGTTAGATAAAGTAAGAGGAACTGTGTTTTAATGTTACGATAAAGAAGCGAATAGAACGTTACGGATCGGGTGAATTATTTGATTCAAAGTATCGAATGAAATTAGCGGTTTGATTCAGCGACCAATTATTTGATAAATTAAACGTCGATCATTTCACTTTATCTAAGAAGCGATAAAAGGTGAGTGCTGCTGTAGCTGGGTACTGGTACATCGCCAAAACTGCGATAGAACAATCTATCTATACGAACGTTTACCAACCCATACAAAATTGCTTGTATGGTCGTCGAAAATTGTTCAGGTTCACGCATGTAAATATGTGTAAGTAAATATTTCGATGGTCGGGTTCGGTCGTTCGAACAAAGTTCCGGGGCGCCGTGAATGAAAGGTACACTGCTGACACGTGCATATATGTATCTTTGTTTCTCTCTTTTAAGTTACCTTAAACGGCTGTCTTCGTTCAACAGCCGAAGTGCTAGAACCAGCCCTCCAATAAGCTGTCAGTTCTGTCCGTAGAGCGGCGGAAAGAGCCGAGGCTGATCAGCCTGCGCTTTACGGCCGACGCGGCTCGCCCTACGTCACAGTGAAGTATGTGCTCTCGAATGTAGAAAATGGCTGCGCTCTCCGCTACCCCGGGTCGGCGCGGATGTAAATACGGCCTGTGGATCAGCTTAGGAGTGTTTATCGCGAGATTCGTTTGTGGTGAGTAAACCTGTGAACCGTTTCGCGATGCCGTTTGCTACGTGTGTTTTATCGAAAATTCCAAATGTATAACGTGCAATGTACCAGAGAATCGATCGGATGCGGAGTCTCGACGCGAGAACGATTGATGTCTGCTGCTGCTGCTGCTGTTGACTATTCTTCGTCTTCTACCATACCAACTACCACACACACACACTCTCTCTCTCTCTCTCTCTCTCTCTCTCTCTCTCTCTCTCTCTCTCTCTCCTCTCTCTCTCTCCAACTCTCTCTCTTTCTCTCCGCTTCTCCCTGACCCTCTCTCTTCGATTAGTGATGTTTCAACACCGCTTCTCTTTTCAACGCGTTGACAACAAACAACACACATGGCTCTCGAACGTTTTACGAAAGATCGTGATGCGATGCGATCATCGTCGTGTCGGTACGCGTTTGTTAAATTGAATCTTTTGGCATGAATGAAAAAAAATCTTTCGTTGAAGAACGATTTGCTCCTCCCGTAACACTTGTCGTGAATTCTTTTTGACACATACACACACGTGCGCGCGCGAGCGAGCGAGCGAGCGAGCGAGCGAGCAAGCACAGGGAGAGAGAGGCGTTTTGCTTTTATCGCGTATTTACCAGTTTCAAGTGTCGTATAAAAGAAAAAGGAGGAAGGTACGGTGTTGAAGTGACGAATAGTTTGTCGTTTACCGTGCACGGTGAGTGTATTTTTGCGAAAGAAACCCTTATACCAAAGTAGCACACGCTCTTTCTTACCCTTGGCTCGAGGAAAGGAGGCGGAGGAGAAAGAAAAAGAGCAGAGAGAAGAAAGAAAGACGAAGAGGTTAGGCGTTAAGGTTAGGGACTGAAATACCAACGACAGTCTTACCGCTTTTGCAGCTTCTCGCACTCCTGTTCGCAGTATTTCCTCCAACTTTCTTGTACGCACTTTTCTTTCCCTTTTTCCACGTGACTCGAACCCATATTCAAATGGTCGTTTCACGTGTGCCTATCCTGTATTTCTGTCTACTAGTCGCTTGTTCCTCCCTGGCTTCTCCTCAGGATTAATTTTAGGCGTCGTCCAAGTTGCTTTCTCAAAAGCGACCGATTTCTCAATCTCGAAATTCGTTCGTTTCCCTTTCAAACGATTCGACGACACTCGCTCGCTCCTCTCTCCTCTCTCCTCTCTCCTCACTTTCAGATATCATTCATCCACTCTACCTTCAAATCTTCTTCAAATTCCTTCCTTTTCCCACACTTCTACTTTCCTTCCTCTTCTTCTTCGTTTTATATAATATCTATGTAGAGCTTTGTTCCATTTGATTTCACACTGACTCGCACAGTAGAACGTGTAAATACGGAGGTTGCTCACATGATAATGATACGTATCGTGAAAGTGAGCAAAACTCCGATGTGTCACAGTGTTTGGAAAATAATTACTGCATTTACCACAAGGCAAAGTACAAACTCGTCGAGAATATTGTACAATTTCATATTTATTATTACAATTGTTCCGTTAGAAAAGATATTCTCCACACGATCGAATAGGGCAGTGATTAGAAATTGCAAATTTTTTATACTATTTCAGTTCTTTATTAACCTTCATTTTCTCGCGTTTACCAACCAATGTCTTGTGAAATATTCGATGTATCGTACTGCAAACGTGGAAAGTAATTGCTCGCATCTTTTTTCTTAAACGCCTTTTCTTATTCCTGGTTTGTTTTGCCGCGCACGCCGAATGCGGCGCGCACACGCGTGTCGCTACATATGTATAGTACTTTATACAGAAATCATGTGAAAACATACTGTCACGTATCATCGTGATTAATTTTAATTCGTCCTATTTCTTGTTTTTGTCTGTGATTGATGGATGCAATCGAAATGGAATGTTCTGTATTAGCATAGAAAACCTGAAGTGTTGTTGATTTCCAATCAACTACATACTACAATGTAGTATCGTGTTTCATTGATACGTCATGTGATTCGTAATCATGAATCCATCATACATATATTCCTTACCATATTTTCGTAATTAATCAGAAGCAGATGCTTTTTTTAATATGATAACAGACGAAAGTGTAACAGGAAAAATGGAACTCATTGAAGAATTGGTAAAGAAGAGTAAATACACTCTACTACGCTACAATTCGTTCTCGAACAAATCTTTCTCAATGTCCAAGATAGAACAGAACGCCGTGTACTTTGCTTCGTGTCGTAGAATACAGCAGGTAACATTGCTGTTTTATATGAATTGTACATTCTCCTGAGAAATTGGTTAGATTAGGTTGCATCGTGTCATTCGTTGTAATCTTCTTGCGGGATTACGTGTAGCAATTATTTCGCAGAAGCCACGCGCGTGTATGGAAAAAACGTCGTCGAGACACACGTTTGGTCAAGTTTTCTGAAGAAGAAGCTATGCAGCACGACTCTGTTCTGCCTTTCTCGTCTCTTCCGAACCTCAAAAAAAGTGTATACCAAGTACATATATGTATACTTACGTACCTACTTACCTACTATGTATATCCTTTTAAAGTGTTTGTTGCACGACCTTAAATAAGACCTTGCCTTTTTTTCTAATTTACCAACGCCGTGAAATCTTTCGAATAATATTCGACATTCGTTTTGCTAATTTCTGTGATATGTAAGTATGTATATATGTACCGTTGTACTATTATACTTTGTGAGATGATAAAGGGAAACGAGAAAGAGAAACGAAACGAGATCGAACGAGTACATTCGCGCTTGGAAACCACTGTAAAGCGCGTTTACCTCTCTTGGAAGTTGTCGGATAATCGTGCATTGGTGAGATCCTTGTACGGTGCGATCGGTATACGCGGCGTTACATGCCGTAGGCTAAGAAACTGCTAAGATATACACAAACACACACTCTCTCGAAAAACATTTCATTCAAGGTTGGATTATTGATTGTTAAAACGCGGTTAGAATTAGGAAGGAAGATTATGTTGAAAAGAATAGAACCTTCAAAGATAATCGCTAGAAAAAGTCAACGTTCTTTGAAAACACTGGCGTTGATTATTTTCTGCCTGCTGTGTCGTTTACCTCAAGTATATGTATATGTAACTGCGTAATAAATGGGTATGCTTTTTCATTCTCTTGTCCTCCATTTCCAAAACGGTTGAAAAACGGAAAGGAAAAGGAGCGAAATGATCTTTCATCCAAATATTCAACGATATAAATAGAGCGGTCACCGGAAAATAGACACAAGGATGTAATTCCGCGACGGAAGATAAGCGTTTGGCGGTTTACCTAACCGTTTCTCCGCTCTTCACTTTTTCCCCCTTTTTTTCTATTGTTTCTACCCAAATCTGCTCATCCAACCATCTAAGTATGTACATTAGTACTTTCATCGCAACTTTCAATGCCTATTGGTATCGCGCGCGCGCAATCTATCCAGCAGGGCCTCGATTTCCAAAAAATATTTTACCCCAAGGCTATTTATTGCAATACACGTTATAAACTTTGTACTCTTGGTTCATTCATTCACGCAACATACACATTTCTCCAACATTTTTACGCACGATAGATAACCTTAAAACCGCATCTGCTTCTATGTACGTCTATATGTTCACATATCGATTGTATCTCTAGTTAATTCTATCAACTTTATCCGGTACTATTGCAATATCCAACAACCCTCTTTCTCCCTCCTTCCTTCATGTATCGTTCTCTCCTACAAGGTACCGAAGACGTAAGTAGTAGTAGTAGTGGTAATAGTAGTAGTAGTAGTAATAGTAGTAGTAGTAGTAGTAGTAGTGGTAATAGTAGTAGTAGTAGTAATAGTAGTAGTAGTAGTAGTAGTAGTAGTAGTAGTAGTAGTAGTAGTAGTAGTAGTAGTAGTAGCAGTAGTAGTAGTAGTAGTAGTAGTAGTAGTAGTACAATAAAAGTAAGTAGTTGCTCTTGCAATCGAAAGAACTACATATTTATTCTTTTATTCTAATACATTCGTTATTTGGAGAAAAGTGGCAAAGGAAAAAGCGTTTGGGCATACACTGGAGATTTCTGATCGTTGCAAGAAGTTTACCTTGCTTTCGTTTCTAACAGCCTCCGTGTCGTAAAACTCGATGATTATTTGTCTATACATACATACTTAAGTAAGTATGTACAACCTCTTCCCGCGTATCCAACCAATATGTACATACAGTTAGGATTTCTCCTTGCCAACTTTTACTTACCTAACCTGTCTTCAATGATCTCGCGTTATATTTTATCGGTATACCGGATCTTTTTATTAATTTCGTTTATACTTTCATACGAAACACTTGTTGCGGTGTGATATCATGGTTTTGTATCGCATGTCGTATTAATTATACGGATGGAAGGAGTGAAACGATAATTACAATAATATTTGTGGGTACCAACGTATAACGTTAACGATTCAAACTTATTCTTTCTTTTTCAGCATTAGGAATTACTTGCTATTGCGAAGGGCACTGTCCGGACGATCGACAAAATGGAACTTGCGTAGGGAGACCTGGTGGTCATTGTTTTAGCGCCGTGGAAGAAGTTTGGGACGCAGAATCGGGAGAATATGTACCAGAATGGTCGTTTGGCTGTCTACCGCCTGACGAGCAAGGTTTCATGCAGTGCAAAGGATACCTTGTGCCACACCTACAAGGGAAAAGCATAATATGTTGTAACAAGAGTGCGTTATGTAACAAAGATTTATATCCTGAATATAAACCCAGACCTACCGCAGTACCTAATCCTATGGCCATAGCATCGGGTGCGCCACTTATAATATTGGCTACCATTTTGTCTGTATGCTTAATGGTAATTTCAATAGCTATGGTGATCATATATCACAGATACAGAAGGAAAGAAAGGGGCCCTTGCCTAGTGCCATCTCAAGGAACGCTCAAAGACTTTATCGATCAGAGTAGTGGTTCTGGATCAGGATTGCCTCTTTTAGTACAACGAACTATTGCTAAGCAGCTAGCCTTATCGCAGTGTGTCGGGAAAGGACGTTACGGTGAAGTATGGCTTGCGAGGTGGAGAGGAGAGAAGGTGGCGGTGAAAGTATTTTTTACACTGGAAGAAGCATCTTGGTTCAGGGAGACGGAGATTTATCAGACAGTGTTAATGAGACACGATAATATTTTGGGTTTCATCGCGGCTGACATCAAAGGAACAGGATCTTGGACACAGATGTTATTAATCACAGACTATCACGAAAGAGGCTCGTTATATGATTATTTACAAACTACTGTTCTAGATCATCCTAGCCTACTAGCAGTATGCCTTTCAATTGCATCTGGAATTGCTCATCTCCACACTGAGATTTTTGGTACTCGGGGAAAACCTGCTATAGCTCATAGAGATATCAAGAGTAGAAATATTTTAGTAAAAAAAAACGGTGAATGTGCAATCGCCGATTTCGGTTTGGCAGTTAGATATATAAGGTAAATAATAATGATAATAGTAACAGCCTGATGACGAACACCTGATGATAGAGACATCGATAAAGGATCGAATAGTGCAATAGGAATAATGAAGCTTCTCGTTGCAGCGAAAGTGGAGAAATCGATATCGCATCTAACACACGAGTGGGTACCCGTCGATATATGGCTCCAGAAGTTTTGGACGAAACCTTAAACACATCTTCCTTCGATGCGTTCAAAATGGCAGACATGTACTCGGTTGGCCTTGTGCTTTGGGAAGCATGTAGAAGATGCGTTACAGGTGGTAAAAGTTCTATCGTGGAACCGTATGCTTTACCATACCATGATGTTGTTCCAAGTGATCCAGACTTTGAAGATATGCGGCTAGCAGTTTGCGTGAAACGGTTACGTCCAATAATACCAGCACGATGGGAAAATGACTCAGTACGGTTCAAATAACAACAGTATACAAATCCATATTCAAACCATATAATAAGATTACTTTTATATAACCGTAATATTAACATGTTACTTTATCAATATTAACGTTACTTTTGTCTTTTCTTTTTACAGATCCTGTTTGCTCTGAGTAAGCTTATGGCCGAATGCTGGCATGCGAATCCTGCTGTTCGTTTAACAGCGCTACGCGTGAAAAAGACAATATCAAAACTACATATTGATAATGCCATCAAAATTGTATAGTGTTTGACGATATTCGTCGATTCTGTTCTATCTTACTACTAGTAGCTGAAAAACCATTTCTTCCCTTGTAAATAACCCGGTGTACATAGATTTATCGACAGACTGCTGCAAGCCTGAAGACTGAATATTAAGATTTAAAAATACATGAAACCGTGTATGAATGGGCGAATTCGTGTGATCGTGAATCAAGTCGCCGTGAATCGTGAAAGAAATTTTTATGAATGAATGTTACACATGTATATTTTTTTGTTTTTAAGTGAAACGCGCGACAAAACATTATGTGGTCAATGTTTTAACGTGCTTCACTGTGTTGAAGTTTGTTGAATATATAATCAACGATGGCTACTACTTAGAAAAGGTGTTTTTGTTTCAGCCAAACTGAGAAGAAGAAAAAAAGAAAAGAAAAGAATTGTTCTAATCTCTGAACGCGCATGATCGCGGGTTGGGAGGGGGTTAAACTGAATCGAACAGTAAACATTTCTAGAAAAGTGAAAATTCTTTTGATAATAGAGTTTCAATTTACTGTATCTTTTACCAGTGTTACGAATTCATACGTATTAAGGTCCCACCATTAACAGAGCCATGCTAATGTACGTTTACATGTTCTCTGAAATCGATCACCGTCAAAAAATACGATATTATATATATATATATAAAGTGCGCATATAATTTTAGTCACAAAACGCGGGATACATAGAATTTTAAAATAATTCATAAATACAATATTATAAGGACGATTTTTACGTTAGGAACGTATAAAACATGTAGCGAATCAGAAATATAAGCATTTGAAATATTCTCATATGTTAAAATATGATGGGTGTACGTGTAAAATTTTCGACGAACATGTTAGGCTACGTATTTCATCACCGTTCTGTTTTTTGTATACGTTTCACTACGTTCACTTTTAAATTTTAAGCTAAGAAAATTATTTCCTTGTAATATTGTTTTTCGTTGCGTTCATTCTTAAGTACTGTCACTCTTTTATATCACCCTGTATTATCTGTATGGTATATTATTTATGTCTTTAAGTTGTACAAATGAGATGTAATATTTCGTTGAAGAACGGTTACAAGTATGTTGTCAATTTTCAAATTTCAGACGTACGTCATGCCAATGCAATTATTCTCCCCCGTGGTAATATATTTTCTGTGATTTAGTAATCTTTTTTTTTTTAGTAAAGATGTGAATAATTTGGTTTATTCGAAACCTGGTGAGTAATTGGCTCGGCATATCGGTAAAGTTTACAAGGACTATGAATTGTACAAATTTTCATCGAGAATTTTTTAAAAAATTAGTACTATGACACCAAAACAGGCATCCCGGCTTTCATTGATTGATTACAAGTCATCGTTATTGCATGCGATGTGTATTGCGTGATAAATGCCACTGTTGAGTAATACCGTTTCGTTTTTTCTTTTTTTTTTTTCTCTCTTTCTCTTGTTTTGTTTCTTTTTAAAGACGAATTGTACTTGCATTAAAACTATAGTTGATAGATAGTTGATTGATTGCAAATAATGTAATTTATATCTTCAACAAGTATATAATACAAAGATACAATATTTTCGTTTCTTCTCGCGATTACATACATAGAATGTTGTCCTTATTTTTTTACTTTGACCACTTGAAACTATTGTACTTTAAGGAAATATCACTTTTTCATAAATCGTTGTATAAGAGGAAATATTGGTGACTAAAATGTGATGGAGCAAGTTCCTAAACACAACGTCGATATCTTTTTAGTTTGGTATGATTATAAAATTGTAAAGAAGAATAGCGAAACTACAACAACGAGGTAGAGTAAAAGTAACATAAATCGTTTTAATTATGAATGCTTACAAATTTTATTCCTTTCATTTGTAATTGTATTCCTATATTTGTAAAATCGAGATAGAACAAAGCATGAGGAAAATCTCCAATTTTTACCAAACGTATTCTAATCATTTCTACTTTACAATTTTACAGCATAGCCTTCCGTAATGTGTGCAAATTGTTGAAAAATCAGAACACGATTATGCATAGAAATTAATGCGTAAGATGGTATCGTCACTTTAATATCTGTAGAAAATTTCGTTTTCACGAGTTGGCAATACTGATTTTCTCATCGGAAGGGACGCCGCTTTCCACCTCCCGGTCTGTTTCGGTCCGCCATTTTTTTACATCGGGAGGCGTACTGTTTGGCGTAGTGTTTTATCGGATTGTTTTACGGAAATACTGACTTGGTAAGTGTTGTAATATTTTTAAGATATTTCGTATAAAATTTGTTATTACATAAAAGCAACGGAGAGATATTGAAATAGAATTGTATGGTTGGATCGGTGATATTAGTGTGGTCTGTAGTGTCGACGTGCAAAGATACGCAAAGCACACGCCATTTCGCGTTTGTCGAGCTCCGTGATAGAGCGTAATTTTACAGATATTTAGTTTTGTTTCTAATAGACTAGAAAAATTGCTAAATACTTGGTGGTATGTAACATATTCATCGTTAAGATATTATTATATATCATTTTGTGGCGAGAAAAATGCTTGAAATCATGTTATACGGAATTTCCATCATCTCGTGTTACCGTTCTAGAAAAGCTTGATCTCACGGGAATATGAGAATTTTCTGCATCACTGTTACTGAACTCGATTTTGATACATATAGTTTACGAAAAATATAATAGGTGTTGATCGAGAACCGATTAACATCGCTTCATGCACTAGTTTACGGACGTAAAGTTGATGTTTTTAGATTTCCAAAGTTGTTCCCAAGTGTTTATTTATAATATAGCGGCATTACTATTGCTACTGTATTTAGTTGTTTTTAAGAATTTATATCGTGCTTGCAACAACTTAATTATCTTTAGCTTCTATATTTTCTCTTTTCACGAACATTATCTATAATTACAAGTGACATCGTTTTAATACCGCCTTGGTGCTTACGTATACATATATTTCACGAACAAGCAGAACGCATACCTTATATCGTGTACGCCATTGCGTACATTTAATAACATATCTCTTAATGTTTGGATACCGTGTGGAAAAAGGGGAGTTGCTGTGCTTAGAAGAATGGAAATTTGGTATATCCTATTCGAAGAGCGTTGAAACTTGATATTAAAATTGTTGGGAATTATAATAAAATAGCATCATATATAGTAAAGGCAGTAGTTCCCGCGCGCCTTCCTAGCATATAAAATACCGTTGAAGGTATGTTCGTGATAGGTTTTTGGACGCATCGTTGGTACGGTTTTCTGTACTGCGGTTTGCCGACAGGGGTCACTACCTCGACATCTCGTACAAGCGAACGCGGCAAGTAAGACGCCATTGTTAGATTGCGTTCTCTTGTGTAAAGTCGCGTGCCTAATCTCAGTGTTGGTTAAATCGTTCGTTAAAAGTTATACGCAGTAATCTTCGGTGAGTGTAAAAAAGCATATACATAATGTTTGAACGTAAAAACGTATGCAATAATTAGAGGTGAACGTGACTGAATACACATTGTAGAATTCGTGCGCCATTTCGAGGTCGGTCGGTACGCTCTCCGTACTACGTGCTTTTATAACGCAGTGACTATCCTCGGCTTGTGTACATTCTCCTTGTTCTGCTCCAACAAGAAAGGAAAAAATTGTTTTCTTGTACGTTTTTAATATTAAGCAAATCGTTTTATCGGATAAAAAGTCGATGAGCAAATGAAGTATTTCGACAAAATTCATGACCTTCGAAATTCGAAAACTTAGATCGTTAGCAAAATGGTGGAAGGAAACGTGTGCGTGCTAGAAGGGGGATCTAAACAATCGCGTCACCGTTGAATATCCTTGATGAATTTTTGGAAGTTTGATTCGAGTGGTTACATTTTTCTGCGTAAAGTAGAGCAGATTAGTTGAAATTTGTATGTGCAGTACATATACATTTTGAATATATAAAAATGAAATTATGACGTAGCAAATTGATAGTATACGAGAAGCTTTTAAATTCTGTGAAATTTTCCTTTCACAATAGGAAATGCGCGGCGAGTAGTCTTGTTTCGATTTAATCGTATTAAAAAGAATGTAATACGTAAAATATCGTGTTATCGCGAATACAGTAGATGTACTTAGGTTCACTGGTGTTGTTGAAACGTTGCATTTACTCCATCTTAGTGTATACTATAATCGGAAAAACGATAGGAATTAGTAATTAGTAATATATGAAACATTTTGTTTTTAAAATTAGGTTCTAGAACGAGCCGAAAATGCCGGGTTTTAGTAGCGTTGGCACATTCAAAATTTTCATCGGTAATTTAGCTGACAAGACGTCGAATGCCGATATTAAACCGTTATTTGAGAAATACGGAAAGGTTGTAGAATGCGACGTGGTCAAAAATTATGGATTTGTGGTAAGTTATTTCTTACTATACGTGTGTGTGTGCGTGCGTGCGTGCGTGTGTGCGTGCGTGCGTGTGCGACACATTTTTTTAACGCAACTAGTGAATACCTTTAATATCTTTTTTTTTTTTTCATTTTTTGTCTTCTTTTTTTTTTTTTTGTTCTGTTTATCCCCATTTTACTGTATCGTTGTTTTTCTTGGTTGATCAGATATTAACAAGATGTCTTGTACACTTGTTCAATTCCACAAATACGTTATAATGTACTTTTTCAACAGCATATGGAGAATGAAGAAGCAGGGAGAAACGCGATACAAAATTTGAATGGACATATAGTTCATGGACAGCCGATTAAATGCGAAGCTGCAAAGAGTCGTAAGGGACCTAACACACCTACGACGAAAATATTCGTTGGCAATCTCACAGATAATACGAAAGCGCCTCAAGTGCGCGAACTGTTCGCCAAGTATGGCACCGTTGTAGAATGCGATATCGTGAGAAATTACGGATTCGTCCATCTAGAAGCAACAGGTGATGTGAATGATGCCATCAAGGAGCTGAATGGACAAATGGTGGATGGTCAGCCGATGAAGGTTCAAATTTCTACGAGCAGAGTGCGACAAAGGCCGGGAATGGGAGATCCTGAACAGTGCTATCGTTGCGGTCGCGGCGGCCATTGGTCCAAGGAATGCCCGAAAGGAGGAATGGGAGGAGGACCAGATAGGAACGGATACAGAGACCGAATGTTTGGACGCGACCCGTATCCTCCACCGCCGCCACCACCGTTCCTTCGGGACCGGCTAATGGGTGGTGGCCGCTTTGGAGTAAGTAGTTTTTCTGAAATTTGTAGTAATCACGCGTTAATAACGAGAGAGGGAGAGTAAGAGTAGGACGTACGACGACGGATGATCATGGTAGCAATGTGTTTGTTTGATTGGTGTTACAGGATTACGAAAGCTACTATGACAGGAGAGGCTTCGAGGACACCAGGGACCTCTACGAGAGGCGGTTTACGGGTATGACAGGGCCCTGTGACATGGGAAGTTCCATGTGCGGGCTTGACTTTCCACCAATGACAATGCCACCTCTACCCCCAAGACGAGACCCAATGCCTCCTATGCCTCCTCTAGGTATGGGATCCATGCGCGACACTGGCTTCTCCCGTGGTAACGAGTATGGCATGTTCAGCCGCCGATCACCCCCTCCGAGTGGCAACAACGGCCGGTTCAGGTGAGTAGAGCCAATGTACCGACTGCCCATTCGTCCGACTTAACATTGTGAACGTTCCAGGCTGGATTAACAGCTCATGCGAATTGGGGTTCGGTGATTCGTCGACATTTGTATTAATGATACTCGATACCGTGTGCTTTTCCTCCTTTCTCTTACGTATTATCAATCTCGCAATGTTCCTTGTTTAAATTGATTGGTCGAGAAGAACGTTGTTGTTGGATCGTTTGGAAAAGTGGAGATTTTTTTAATTGCATCGGGGAAACTCGGGTTATTTGTTTGCACACGATATAGGGGGGAAAAACTAGACTCTCGCATATTTGGTCACGTGAGACAAATGAATTCGAACGTTGATTCACTGTTACGTCTCTGCTTTACTATACCTCTCTTTCTATTTGTTCGATACATGAAATCGCGCAGTACGTATGCATACAGATATGCATTTTGGCATGCGCATGCGCGTGTGCGCCGCTGTGCTGGCTGGCTGCGTGCATACATATAATGTATGTATAGACGCATCAGGCAGACACACACACGTGGCACCGATGCATATATGTGTGTATAGGATAGTGTGGAGATATAACGCACGCAGAATCGTGTTGTGCATTACACGTATCATTCTTCTCTGTTCTCTATCGCAATATCGTTGAAAGAATAATCGCGAAATGTTTGCAATGCAAGTAGAGAGTGTCGACCCGATGCCCACATGAGTGCAGAGTCTGCGTAGTAAAATGCTAATGTGTGTGTATATATATACAATAATAAGAATAATTATAGTAAGAGGAAGAAGAAGAAGAACGATAACGATAACGATAAGAATTATTGTTGTATATACATACATGTTTGAATAGATAGATAGATTGATAGATTGATAGATATATATGACGCTTGGACGTTTCTGTACATTCTAAATTTCAGTGCACCTCAGGCTGCGTACCATCTTTGTCCATGAATGCGGACAACCCTAGAGAGACAGTCCCGGGCCAGCGTTCAAGTCGTGCAAGAGTAAGTCTTTGACCACTTTTGTTAGCGAGTAGTCATACCTCGTTCTTGTCGCTGGCGCGTTGTACATCAGCAGCTTCTATTTTCCTCGGTGCCAACAAAATCCGGGTCTCGACTGATCGTACCTTGAACATGTCGACTGCTCTTCTAGGGATGTCCCTGTTCATAGACTCTCTTGATCCATGGCGTTAACTGCGAGATTGGCCTGTATGTCTCTCATAAATCCTTTGTGTTTCAAGCGCTCCCTATTACGTACATCACTCAACCGGGAGTGGCGCGGAGGCCTGGGATGAAGAAACGTTCCTAAGGAATGCGAACTAGATTTCTTGATCGCACTACCGCGAGCCAGGATGCGATCCCACAATTCTAACGAACTCTCGTACGCTGTAGATAGAAAAGAAAGAAAGAAAAAAAGGGCTGGCGCGATTTTCAGGAACGGCGCCTATCGATTGTCTTTAAAACGTCTCGTAAGTAGAAACCAGCTCTCCAGACGAATTGGACAGTAAGTTTTGTGTATATCGGCGTGTTTCTAATAGTTGTTACGGTCAGTTTCATAGCTACGTTTCTTGAAAAGTCTATTTTATCGATCGATTTCATTATTGTTCTCTATGTATCGATTCAGGCTGATTTCGCGTCGATTTCTCAATTGTGATTTCTCGATAGTGACGAACCACCAGTTCGCGAATACTACTACACATTAGAGAAATAATCTCAAGCTGTGTACGCGTTGAGAGAAGGACAAGCAAGTTATTGAAGTAGTTACTTTGTTTTAAAGTATCATTGGTAAATAGTGTACAAGTATTCTTCCAATTTTCACGGACTATCTGTTTATTTTCCTTTTATTATTACGACAAAAAACTCGTTCACCTAAGTTGTTATCGGCTCTACGACCACGACATGTACGATCATTTTCTTTGCTTTCACTTTTTCCCCTTTCTTTTCTGTCGTGTCTCACTTTTCTTCATGTAATTCTGTTTAAACGTTGTTGTCACAACGTGTAACGGTAGAAATGCGTTGATTAGTTTAAAAGTTGCACTTTACATTGCATTAAGACGTTGAGTTATTCTGAAAAATTTCACGAAACCGCGCGGGGCGGCCCAGCTGCACAGCACGCGATACGACACCAAAAAGATATCGCGTCTAGCTAGCGTATGAGGGCACACACGCGCGCACGGATATAGCGATGACAAATCTACGTACATGCCCCCCCTCCCCCATAGACGTGCACGCACGCGCACACACACACACGTGAACAAAGGGGAAGAGAATTGTATTTACTTCAAAATTACGATCCACAGTTCTTGAAGCTGACTTCTACTCACGAGATTCAAAGCTTTTCATGTATGTAAATCCATTCGAAAACTTTCAAATAGAAAACAGAGTTGATTGAACTTGTCAATCTTTCTGAATACTTTGAATTTGTTGTTGCACGTTACCTTATTATCCTACATAATCCCAGCCTGGGCTGCAAACGGCTCGTCACGTTCCGATTATGTAAAATGATTTGTAACTTGAAAATCGCATGGGTTTAAAATCCAGTCTAACGCTGCCTGCCTTATATGACTAGCTCTAAAAAAAAGAAAAAAAAAAAGAAAAAAAAGACAGAAGAAGAAAAGGAAAAGAGAAAAATAAAAGAAAGAAAGAAAGAAAAATATCCCTTATCGCTGTGAATCTTGTATTACGCGTGCATTTATTAATTTGTTGTTTTCATTCTGGTAAATGTATCTCGTATGAAATAAAGCGGATAGAAGAAGTAATTCGTTACTGGTTGCGTTGAAACATTTCTAGGTATAATTCGAGCACGCGCCTAATTGCACGCACAGAAACACACACACACGCGCGTATTAGTCGCGCGGGCACACACTTGTATAAAGAGATACATATATAGTCCCCAGTGAACGGTTACTACCGGCCCGATTAATATCTCCACGGGAATGCGCTCCGTACATTCGGCAGCGCGCGCTCCTCTCAACAACTTCTACCTTCGATATTTGTACGATAGCGTGTATTCGTGATTCGATGGTCGGTATATTCGTCAGTACAGATAGAAGACATTCTAGGAAGGCCGAGATTGAACACGGGCATACTTTATTATATACGTGTGTATCCCCGGTGTTCTTCCTCTCGCGCATACACATTCTCGTTTTCGCTATGATGTATGGTCGGTAGCGTCTTCGTACATTTCTTACATTGACATGTAAATCTACCCGTGGAATGCACAGCCTCTTTCCGAACAATTTCTGACCTCTGTTTAATAACACAGTCATATTAGGCAGCACGCGGCTATTTATCCTTGCATTTCAATATACAGGGACTAATTCACAAAGTTAAGCCTTGGACAAGGGAGCAAGTACATGGTATATGTTGATCTCTGATCATTCGTAGATTCGATTATTTATTATACCGCTGTTATAGTAGAGGCATGTACGAGGACTTCAGCCGAGATTCATTCGAAGAGCGTAGGTAAGTAGACGTGTCAATTCGAGTTACGAATCGGCCCAAGTCGTATCCAAACGTTTCTTAGTATTCAGTCGTCGGTTTGATTTAATCATTTCTGCTCTCTTCTTTCTATACGCCACGACACGCCGAATTGCCTGACTGCGCGTACTCTTTATTCTTTTTTTTTCTTCTCCTTTTTTTTCCTTTTCTTTTTTCGCCGGCGATTGCTTGCCGTTAGAGTTGCGTTCAATTTGTTCGGAGGTTCAAACCGCGATATTTGGTAGCGCGTATAGTGTAAATATTTGTAGTAGTCGCGGAAATTGTGCTCTAATTCAGTCTGATCTATCCGTTTAAATCGATCGGGAAGAACGAGGCAACAAAGCGACGTGTGTATTTCGCAAAGAAGAGAGTGTCGCGTGTATGAGGGAGAAACAGAGGGAATGGGAGGGAGAGAGTGAATGAGCGAGTGCCTGTGGAATGTACGTGAAATTCGAAAATTTCAGTCATCTTCGTTGGCTTGAGAAATACACATGCTACTAATACACGTTGCCGAGAATAATTAGCGAGAATAACGAGGAAGAACGTACTCTTTGTGATGTTGCTACCATGTTAAGACACCCGTCTGTTGCTTCTCCCGTTAAATAATTTTCCCGGACCCCTCTTTTAATACACACCGCATATAAATCGCTCTCTCTCTCTGTCGGTTCGTAGATTTGTTACTTTTTCTGTGTTTTTTTTTCCTTTTCTTATTTTTTTCCTTTTTTTCTCTTTTTTTTTTTTGTGCCCACGACAGATATGCTGTATTATACCACCCTTGTCTACTTACCTATCCGCCCTTATTTGTATCTCACAAGCTATTCCTCTCTTAGCCCGTGTTTCTAAAGAAATCGTTTGATCGATCTCGTGTGACTGACGTGGATTCATTTTGGTTACCAGACCGGGATTACGAGGGCCATCGCCGTCGCGCCGGTTCGCACCATACTAAATCGTCGCGTCGGGCTCGGATCGGTCTCTGTCGGTCTGTCTGTCTCTCTGTGTCGGGTCTCTGTGTCTGTCGCTAGCAGGAAGCCTCGGGACCGAGATACTCTTGGCCGTCTGTCGATCTGCACGCGCGAAGATCTACTCTCCCCGCAATGCGCTATTTAGACGAGAACCGGAACCGGAACGGAAAAAAAAGTAACAGAGAAAAATAGAAAGAAATCCAAATAGGACGAATATTAAGCAGCTGAACAGAATGAAAAGAATTTCTTCGAAATGCAGGCCTTTATTACGACGCAGTCCATCGCTGCCGCTGCCGCCGTCACCCCTTACACCACACCACATCACGCCGCGCCATGCCACACCACATCCCATCCCATCCGATCCCATCCCATCGCACCGAAACCCTTCTTTTCTCCCCATGTCCCTGGTTTCCCTTTCTTTCGAGATGAATACGCGCGACAAACATCTCGGTCGCTTTCCTTCCCTCTTCCCGCCCTCTGCCCTTCGTCGTTTCACCCGATTCAATCCATTCTCGTCGCTCTGACAGCAACTATCTCCGTCGATCCTGTAACCAGAAACTGCGTCCAATATTTTGCAAACGCGTATCAATTCGATCATCCTGAATTGATAAGCATATGTTCTCTTTTTATGTGTAAGAAGAAACTATGTGGCATCCTCCTACCAAAGACAATTTTCCAAATCACAGCCACGTTTCGATAAATTACGCAGGAACATGGAAGGAGATTAATTCGCAAATCATTTTTGGTAGGATGGTGCTGCTTGCAACAAGATACATACATATATATTCATATATACATATATATGTATACATATGTGTGTACCACGTATGTTTGATGACGATGACCGTTTCTGTGACGATGACGCGCACGAGCATTCTCCCCTTTTAGTCGTATAAACTTTACTCAGATTTTCCTGTGACAAACGCTCTGGTAGTTATGAAAAACGTGAAATTTGTCGATTAGAAAGGAAGCGGAATACACCTCCCCGTATTTTTCTCCTTTTTGTGTTTTTTTTTTACGCAATTAACTGCGCGCGGTTTACAACGCGTCGCAATCACAAAATCGGAGCATCTTGTAAACGTGTACGTTTCTTTCATCTTTCCCTTAATTACACGCGTTTTTCTCGTCTCAGCCCCCCGACGTCCACCGTCGTATAGTTTGCTCGAGGAACGGCGGATTTTCGTAATGCGTGTGAAAAAAGTGTTGTAAAGTGAAAAAAAGAAAAAAGCAAAGAAAAACGGTTGTTCGATAACATGCGAGGATAAACGTGTTGGTTGCTTAGCGCCTTAAGACGCCGCCGACGGAGGCAACGATGTGCGTGTAATCGATGTCGTGTAATTTGAATTTTCTCCCGTCGTCGTAACCCCGATTTTTCTCAGATCCAACGTCGTATAGTGCGAATTCGAGGCTAAGCCTCGTTCTATACGCAGCGTATAGTTATGCTTTATATGGCTAGCGTTGTATCAATAAACCTTTACCATAGAGTTCACCGTAAAAAATATAAAAAGAAAAGAAAGCTGAAAGATCGTGCACAGCCTTTTTATATGATTTTTCTCTGAAGAAACGAGAAGGAATGCGTGCGGGTTCGACTGTTCGAATCGTTTCCCGATGACCACGAATGAGCCTTAGTGATAGAATTTCAGAGACATGGTAGATTCGTAGGATGCGTCGATTCTGTATGGGAACCTTAAAGTGGGTCGTGCGAACATTATATCGTTAACCTGTAGTAACGTAATTACCGTTTTATTAACATATTAGAATTAATTATCGTGGAGAATTACCGGAAATTAACACGGTAACTAAAACTGCGCTCCGTTTAGCTTATATATATATATAAACACACACACACACACACACACACTATATATATATATTACGCGCGCGCGCGCGCGGCATATACACACATCCTACGTATACACACCATACCTATATATGCCGATGACCACCGTTTTCCGTTTCGAGCAACGTATACACGTTGGTATGTGTAATATTTCTCCCTCTTCTCGTTTTTCTTTTTTTCCTCTTCTCTTCCTCGTTTCTTTGATAATACGACCTGTTTTTCAATGATAATTAGATTAATGGTAATCATACTAATAATGGATTAAAGAAGCGAATGTAATAACAATGTACTTGTGAAATTCACAGAAAAGTCGTTTCGTGTTTTTTAATCATCACTCGCACCGTTTTTATTCGTCGCTCAAATCCTCTACCGCTATCACACCAACACAACCCATCACCACCACCACCACCATCACCACCACCACCTCTACCTCTACTTCTACCTCCACCACCATCACCATCACCGCCACAATCACCACCACCACCAGCCTATATAATACCATCTGACCCGTATCACCATTGAGAAATTAATTTACCGTCTAAGGAAAAATATACATATGTAGTCGGTCGTGGCGTAAATGGACGCGCGCGCTTTGCTGGCTTCCTGCGCGTAGCGCGTTAACACACGTTGCCGCGATCGTTGCTCGCGATATTCACGATTTTTCGGAATATCCGAAAGCAGTTCGATCTCGTTGTATCTCGTTGGTTACATCCTTCGTAGATCGTACATCGATCAGTATCCACTTTTGATTCTCCTTCGTGATTTTTCCATCGTAACCACCGCTATAGAGAGAACTGCGATAGTTTTGCCAATAATTATCGCGTCTATATTTACTTCCTTACTCTTAGTGTACTACTTGCACAGCAAATTCACATGTGCTTGGCGAACAGATAAATTGCGTCCCTCTTAGAATGTCAGGTTTGGCGGAACACAATGCGTACAAGAGTCGTGGTAGTCTTTCGACGTTGCATTCCTTCCCTTTGCATCATAGTTATCGCAGTAATAATTGGACCAGACTCTTCTTTGCAAATGATTGACACCGTCGAAACTTATAGATCGAATCTTTTTTCTTTTTCATTTTTTTTTCTTTTTTCTCTGTTTTTTTATCGCACATGTTAATCGTCCGTGGAAGGAGTGCTACTCTTTGTTATCGTAGGGGTGGGCTTAGCAGTTTTACAACTGATAAAGATGCAAGTTTACTGCGAAAATCAAATACTCTAAGAATCTGTGCAGCATTAAGTATACGTTGTTTTCAGTTGTGTGAAAGAATCGTAGAAATAAAGAACCAGTAGTAATGTTTTCCTGCGCAAAAGACTTGTTTCGGTAACATTTGTTCTATGCGGATAGACATTAATGAATAATCCATACGTCTAACGTCTCAGTGTGATGTAACTGAAAACGCTGACGTACGGTGACGCTCAGGTTACGCGGATAATCGATAGGATGATATATTTTCCCCTTGCCAAAAGAAAAAAGAAAAACAGCAGCGAAATTTTATCGATCGATACGCGTAGATATACGTATGTGTATCTATCGTTCGTCGTCGCCGTCGTGTGTATGGAACTTGAACATGGAAACCACTACTTCGTTCCGTGGTCGATGTCAGTTCGATAAGTGAAATCGTCGGAGATTACCGTTGTACGGAAGTAAAATGCACCGATAGGAAGCCTGCGGTCACCAATACACTCTGTTCCGTTTATGTTGCGAACGGGTACAATCATGGCATTTGGTAGTCTCGATAATGTCGCTCCACCGTTCGAGTCGTCGGATCGTCGGGCTATGCAAACCGAGAGAAATGATCGACGGCGTGAAAACTCCCGACGAACACGAGTAGTAATTATCGCTTGCCGATTGAAACGCACCTCGCAGACCTTCGGAAATACGTCGTACGAGTTCTCCTTTCACGACACCACGGAAAAACGTGAAGTCCCTCTATGGTAGATGACTCGTGATACGCGAGTTTTCAAAAACGAAAGATATTGACGAGAAAATACTGAAAACGAAAAAAAGAACCGAGGCGCTATTGAAATATTGACTGGGTAGTAGAATCGGGAGGATGATAATGTGCGATATGCATGTATGAGGCAAAAACCGGGCCGTGTAATTCTTCACGTGCGCGGCAGAAAAAAACGCATCTCGTACCGGGTCGCCCTCGCCCTCGTCGTCGTCGTCGGGGTCGCCCTCGCCCTCGTCGTCGTCGTCGTCGTCGTCGTCGTCGTCGTCGGTTACCAATTACCAAAAAAGTGATAGAGAGACGCGCCACGGAGAAATCTAAAAAAAAACACTATGCATATTGTAATGTGATGTATGATATAGGACACGATAGAGCCACTACGCCAAACGCTTCTGGACACACGTATACACTTGGGAGGAGCTGCTCAACTTGACGATGTCGAGTACGAAGAAGAAGAAAAAGAGAGGGATAGAATCACGAAAGAAGTGAAAGTGACAATAAACGAGAGAATAAAATGAGAGAGAGAGAGAGAGAGAGAGAGAGAGGTGGAGGTGGCGGCGGCAGGGAGATAGAGTATGAGTCTTCAACGTATCCTACGATGATACGCGATGGAAGAGAGAGAGAGAGAAAAAAGGTAATTGTCAACCAGGGACAACTTTTATGCGACCGACGAAACACAATGATGATTATGATTACGATGATGTTGATGATGATTATGATGGAATATGGGTGTGCATCGTAAATCCTGCTGGAGAAGTATATTATGGGTGCTAACCGCATCGTATCAAGGCAAGTTCACCAGCAAACAATTCACTCACTGTCACTATCATTTTCAGATTCGCGTAAGAAAGCGAGTAAAGCGAAAGCAAACCTGCGTGTTGTTCTTTGAAAACATTAAAAATTCACAGCTTTTTTCTGTGTCTGCCCAACTCGTTTTGTTGAGAGTCATCTTTTCTTTCTCAGGAGATGCGGTAGGGCGCATACGCATGCACATTGAACGCCAGTGATATGAAGAACTTCATATGCGAATATAGGCTCCAGAATCTAAACTAGCACTGTGGGGGAACGGTGATGCTGTATAAACTCATTCATCCCGACACATGCTTCTTCTCTGTCATGCTAAAGACTGGATTTTCTAATGTTTTTCTCGACTGCGTGGAAACACGAGAAGGTACCGTAAGGAAGCAAAAAACTATTCCTCTTCCCTGTATTCCTTTCTTCTTTCTCATTTACTCTTTATATGTGTTGTATATAATGAGATAGTTGCGCACGATTTCTATCAAGATGTAGCGGTAAGTATAACATCGTTAAATGCAGGAAAGGAAGATGCTGCAACACGAAAATTGTTAGGACACAGAGCAGTTCTGATTAACAGCGTGTCATAGCTGACTCAGTGCTGTCCAAGATGATCCAAGCCAGGACCACCTAAAATTAGTTGCATTATTTCCTACTAATGTTCACAGACACCAGATTGCCTATTCCTGGCTAACTACCTTCCTCTCCTCTTTTCAACTATCCGAATTTGTCAGACCGTCTGATAGAGTCTAAACTCCAATTTCGACTGCCCTCGCCTTTATCGGATCGATCAATCCAGGTGCGAACTTTAATCGTCGGTAACTACCCTTTTTTCACCTACATATACATATAACCAGTATTGGCAAGTATGTCCTCGCTTTTTCTACTGGTTCAACCTCGCAATTTCGATGTGAGTAGTTCAAACGTAACTATTCTCTGTATTAATTCTCCAGTATCCTCCAACCACTTCCTCAAGTCTAAAGATACCAGAATCGAACTGTAACTCCGCTAGCCTCACTTCTTTTCACAATTATCCTCACCGTTAACTAATATTTCAAGTTTGATACATTACTTCTTGATATTGACAAATGCCTGAGTGACCTTTAATAACTGACTTCAGTCTCCTGATTGCTTATTTGGCGCAATAAAAAAAATGATTTCCAACAAGTCTTAGAAGATTAAGGCTTAAAATACTTATTATCCTTGCAGTAAATTGCACAAAGTGCACGTTCCTTTATTCGAGAAATAAGAATTTCAATAATTGGAACCAACTCATAATTTACAAGCTCTTTTATCTTCTTTCTATTCGTCAAGCTTACGGTACGTCCTTGAGAAATACATACTGTACCGTTTCGTATGGTGTACACATTATCATATCCTTAGACTGACTTGTTGCACAAAAGTTTATTCTTTTGATAATTTCAATAATAATGTACCACGATAAATGTATATGTATACTAATAGACTACGTAAAGGAAACAGGTATTACGTGCATTTTCTGCACGAATGAATTATTTAATTGCCGAGTGTAAGTTATTTTATTGAAAACCTATTACATTCCACTTGCTTAAAGATATATAAATATAATTAGTGTTACATATACTGAAAATTTGGCGTGCGCGCGCGCGCGCGTGTGTGTGTGTATTGCATATGCACTGTTTCAAGAATTCTCACATATGCTGAAAAAGAATACACAGTTTAATTCAAATTTCATTCTTACCGAATGTTTAGTTACATAAAGTAGATTACGACAGTATGATGTATGCATCGATGGGAAGCTAAATAAAATAATTTGTCTCATTAAACGAGTGTTTTATAAGTTACGTTTTTCCATTCATTTCTAAAATTGTAACGATGACGTTTTAATGTAAACACAATTCAAAGTGCACGTGATTTCAATAGACTTGGCAAGTGAAGAGGAGCTCCACCACAAGTCAGTGGCGCATCGTCGCCAATCACATATGGTATATTTTGAAACTGTTAGTTGCAGTAGGTGAAAATTGTAACAAATGGCGTTGGACTTACGGTATGAGAATTTATTATTGCAAATATTTTTCATTTTAGCGCTTCTCAGTTATGTCGTGAACATTTTTCTTCGAATAAGAGGTTATGTCAGAGAGTAGCTTTGCCCTTTTGGGGAGGTTAGATTCTACACGCGGGCTGTATCATGTGCTGATGTGTATGAATCGAATACGCGATTACATCATCTGCTAAATAAATTGCGAATCACTCATTTTTTTTCCAACATTCACATAAATATTGTTCATATAGCTTTTTCGAACATTCCTAACGTGCATGATAGTTTATTATCTATCAAGCTTACAGTTTCCAAACTTGTAACAGCATCGTGGAAAGTAAAATTCAGGTTATGTAATTGTCAGTATTAAACTGCAAGAGGGGCGAGTGGGGGGGATTTGTGTAGAAAAAAACTTTCCACGCTTAACTCGTAATATGGGGGCGGGGAATTGTAGTTTCATAAACATATGTGAAATATATAGATACGTTTATTTTAAATTCGATATTTTGATAACAATTACTCTTTGCGGATTATGAATTTGATTAGGTATAACGATTCTGAAACATTTCAGAGAGGGCCTTCTTCTAGGCATGGGTAATCCCCTTCTTGATATTTCAGCGACTGTAGATAGCGAATTTTTAAAAAAATACGACTTAAATTCCAACGATGCTATCCTTGCTCAAGAAAAGCACAAGCCCATGTATGATGAATTAATAGAACTATATAACGCAGACTTTATCGCTGGAGGTTCTGTGCAAAATACTATGAGAGTAGCACAAGTAAATTCTTTAGATGGTTTAGTACATAGTTGTTAATGATATTCTATTACAAGTATTAAGAGTTGAATATTCTATAGTGGTTCCTGGAAAGACCAAGAATTGCAACTTACATGGGTTGTGTTGGAAGAGACAAATATTCAAAAATTTTAGAGGATAAAGCACGGGCGGATGGTTTAAATGTTCGTTATCAATATACCAACAAGGAACCTACCGGTACCTGTGCAGTTCTTATTACTGGAAATGAACGTTCCTTATGCGCTAACTTGGCTGCTGCTAATTGCTTCTCGCTTTCGCACATAGAAGAACCTGAAAACAAAATGCTTATAGAAATGGCTGAATATATTTATGTCTCTGTATGTATAATAGAAGAAAATGTATGTAACAGCCATAAGTTGTTAAATTCGAGCCAAATATTGAGTCCTATGCTTTGAAATTCTAGGGCTTTTTCTTAACTGTAAGTCCAGAAACGATACAAGAAGTCGCTCAGCATGCCTTGAAGAAAAATAAAATGTTTATGATGAATCTTAGCGCGCCATTTTTGTGCGAGTATTACAAAAAGCCTATGTTAGCGGTTCTCCCTTACGTGGATATCCTATTCGGTAACGAAATAGAAGTTGATACATTCGCGAAAGTGAATAACTTTGAAACTACAGACAGGAAAGAAATTGCGTTAAAATTATCAGAAATGGAGAAAGCGAATAGCAAAAGGCAGAGAATTGTTGTGGTAACACAAGGTGCTGACCAAATATTAGTAGTAAAAGATAATATTGTAACAGAATATCCTGCTGTTAAACTCCCGGAAGAAAAAGTTATCGATACTAATGGTGCAGGTGATGCTTTCGTGGGAGGTATGTTTTTCTAAATGTTTGCTTTCCAACGAAGTAGACAATTTTCAGAAGAAATATATATATGTATATGTATATAACGTTGTCAATGTTTCAGGTTTTTTGGCCCAACTGGTACAAGGTAGAGACATAGAAGTTTGTATAAAATGCGGTATTTGGGCTGCAACTCAAATTGTACAAAGATCTGGATGTACTTACGAAGGGAAACCTAGTTTCACTCTTTGATGATGCTTAAGTCAGTTAGCAATTGTAAATTCTGTACTTAATAAATACTTTAACAGTTTTTATCCCCTTGATTTCTAAAATTATGAAATAAGTTTGTACGTAGTTACATCTAGAAGACCTGTTGTTTTTGTAAAGAGGACACACTTAACTTTCCTTTATATCACGTTATCTTGAAACTACATTATTTTGTAGTAGCAGGTACATGTTATTTATAGGCTGTCGCGTGCAAATACAGAAATTTGCAATAGTTTTATAGCGTTGTAATATTTTTGCTGAATAAGACGAGTATAAGTTGGAAATGGTAAAAATAATTTTGATAAGGTAGAGGAAAAGAAGAGCGAGAGAAAATGTATCAGTTGAAATTAATAAACGATGTATTATCATGGACTAATTAATCGTGCATTATCAGCAAAGTAGACGAATGCAACTTTGTTTGCCACGTAATACGGAACGTAAACGAAAGAATAAGGTGCATCGCTTAATTCACACTGTATATGGTATATCAGCTATTTCCATTCATTTCTGCAGAATTGAAAAAAAAATCAATATAATCACCTGCGTCACTGTCTTTTCATTGAATACTTGGCTATTAAGAGATGTAAAGTCACTGCTCGCAATAGTGAAAAATAAAAAACAACAAAATAAACACAGCATCAGGCGGTACGTCTGCGTCGTCGGGGTTGGTACGTATGCATATACGAAATTGCTGGGCAAGATAAAGATGAAAGAATAAAGGGGCATACGTGTGTGCAAGACGTAACATAGTCGTACATGCGATTCTTAAAGAAATCAATAATCTCATTACGAAATTGTATAGGATACGTACTGTATGTGTACAGTTAGAAGAACGACGATGGTATACTAGTTACGATCCAGATGGTCTAAAAATATTATGCGATCGATATATAAAAAAACATTTAAAAAATATGTCATTAGGTATTTTTTTCGATTGTCGTTGCAGCAGAAAAATAAGAAAGAAAAAAAATGAAGTATCAGTTATTCGTATATAAATTTGAAAAGATTTACGAGTTTGGATGAACTAATAGTAAACTAATCGCATCACCGCTGATCCGTTTAATCAAAATTAGTACTTACGTAGTGGAAAAAAGTATCGAAGAAAAATTTGTATGTGTCAAGGATAAACAGAGCACGTTTATGTTTGTCTCGAATAAGAAGAAGAAAAAGAAGAAGACAGAGACGAAGAAGAAGGAAAAGTGAAAGTAAAAGGTGAGGAGAAGAACTGATGAAAATGAAAAAAGAAGAAAGGACAGGAAGCATCGAAGGAGAAGAATGAAGTAGTTGGGCGACCGAATGGCGAATATCATTGTTTGATTAATATTTGTAGGTAGGTGGCCTGAGGGCACGGAGATACAGTCCTGGAAGCCCGTTGACAAAGCTTCTGGTAGCGTTCGTGCAAGAGTGGCGCGCGCTGTAGTGTCAGGAAACTGATTGAGAATGGTTAAATCGAGCGTGAAGCAAGCGGCCATAGTGTAGAGGTAGAATATGGTCGTAGGGGGCAGAGAGACGGCTCGGTGAATCGTGTGCACACATCTGACGTGGATAGGTTTAGCGCGGAACATCAGCGATCGCTTTCAATATTCGCTTTCGCCTTTGCACGCACTCCCGCGCTTGGAAGGTTTTCTTTCCAGGCGTCTCATGGGACATGGTATATACGTAGAGAAACGTTAGAGGCGCGCGTGTGCGTGTGTGTGTGCGCGCGCGCGCGTCAGAGAAGCAACGAAACGCGACGCACGTGTGACCGGTAATGAGAGTGTACGAGTTAAAGTGGACGGTTTGATTGGTCGAGGAAAACGCGTGCCGCTACGACTGCTTCGTGATTCCGCCGTACTGTGAGCGCGGTGTGCGCAGTGCGCTCCCCACCGCGTGCGCGCAGTGTGTAACCCCCGCGACCGCCATCTTTGTCAAGTGGGTAACCTTTGTTGATTTGTGTGAAATGTGACGCCGTTGTCGTGAGATAATTGGTGATCGTGATTACACATCCCGTGTATCGGTGCCTAGTGACTAGTGCTGATTCTGTTGTGGATTTATACATGGAATTACCGCGATCAGGTAAAAGCACTTTACCTCTTGTTAAATCTTGCAAGAGAAGCACGCGAATCATCACCCGACGCATACGGGCCAGCGGGTCGGGCGGCCAGCTCCAGAGAGAGAGAAGGAGTGAGGTAGAGAGAGAGAGAGAGAGTGAGTGAGTGTAATAGAGTGCGAAAGAGAGGGAGATAATCTTCTATACGCAGTGTCCGTTCCTGTTTCGCTTATTCTTAACACTTGTTCGGAGGTAAATGTGGGAATAAGCGAAGATTGGAATCGGAGAAAAGGATAACAGGTTTCCCGGTAAATCGAGAGAATAGGATGTTGGAGCGGAAGGATGGTGGTTACGCGCGAAAAGTTGTGCGAAATAGCGGAGAGTTGGTCGTGCCTAGCCAAGATGGCTGCCCGTCGGGCTTCGAGAAACTTGTGCCTCTCGATCGTCTTTTACTTGGATGTAATTGCTTCGTTTCGTTGGTTCGGTTGATAGAACGCGGATCGAGCGTGGATGTTTGGAGGGTAAAAAAGAGGGTATCTCGAGGGATGGTAGGAAGAATTAGCCGGCAGGTGACCGAGAATAGCGTCAGCGACGGGTTGGTGGGCGACGGCCGTCGCGATTACGTTCGCTACCCGTACAGAGTGTATTTCTCAAGAGAGATGTGATTCGTGCGTATCGTAACGGTTACTCGAACTCGATAAAGAGCAGACAAGCGTTCCAGTCGACGGAAGTACGTGGTTTGCAAGTGCATTGATTAAAAAATGGCTACCAACGTTGATGGTCAATTGGTGAGATTATTAGAAGACATAGATCCGACGTGGAATTCTCGGTGATTTGGCATTCTCGGTAATCGAGAAAGTTGAGAAGTGAATGACGATGGCAGTTGACGCGGTTAATTTTCGAACGCTCGCATGCAGGCACGCACGGCACCGAACAAACGTAGTATTGTACGGCTTTCGAGTTGCATTAATATTATATGCGCGTTTGCAAAGTCGGCCGAGGAGAGTCGTATGCAGAAAAGATGAGTAAGAAGCAGAGCCGACGGCGATTAAAGCCGCCGTGGTTGTCGTTGTCGTGGCTGGTCGGTCGTAGCTGATCGTCGTTCGGTAACCGTCCGTTTTCTTGGTGGCAGCTGTTCTCTCTCCGCTAGCATCCTCTCTTTTACTCTCCGTCGGGTGAGAGGGGCCACGGCGAAGCAAGAGCCAGAGTCAGCCGGCCTCTCTTCGCCCTCGTTCCCGTCCTCTTAACCGGACGAACGACAGACAAATAGACAGCAGACGTGTTCGCTCAGCCAATACTTGGTTTTGCCTAATAAGAGACGGAGTTGGAAAGAGAGGCGCGCACCTATAGAAAAGTGAGCGAGAGCAGAAGGATGGAGGGTTTCCGAACTGACTTACAGATTAAACGTATATGCATATTCGACGAGGTTCGACGGAAAGTTCTGAACGTGCGGTATGTTTCTTCTTTTGCTGTTCTTTCTTTCTCTCTGAGGCGCGCGCGTGCGAGCTCTCCTGTTCTCCCGTAATTGTTGGAAGCGTGCCGTTAATTGTCCGATTAACGAATCGAAAGGAAGGCAAACGTTTGAAAATTCAAGCTCCGATGGAAATCTAATCGTCCCGATTGACAATCCGCTTCGCGATCGTGGTTGTTTGTTCTTTTTTACTTGCGCTTGTCCAAGGTGCTCGTAGAGGAAGTTTGGATTGTTGGTTGTCCGAATTAAGAAAGAAGTAGTAGTAATCGTAAAGACAGGCGAGCGTGCACGTTTACGAGGATCGATTATCAACTGGTGGAAAAATGAACATTATCGTTTTTTCTACGCTACGTGTCCGGAGTAAGATTGCTCGTACTGCATCCTATTAGAAAAGGTGGCTGTATTTTTATTTCGCGTTCATTCACCATGATCGTGCGATATTCCACATAATCCCACGTGGGGATTGGTATAATATACGTGAATAGTTTATCTTGGTTTACCTTACGCGAATGCAAGACAAGATAAAGTAGCATTCGAAGCGGTACAGAAGTTTTCGACGATATCCTTGTAGCCATTAGCCCTAAATTCAGACGACGTGTACGGTGTTATAGTTGGGCGATAGAAGTAGAAACGTGGTGTGTAATGCGAAAAGGATATGGTCTGGATAGCGACGATTTGTCGGTGAGTCACGATTAAGACCGAGAGTAATCGGCTTTTGGAGTCTGTATTTCAATGATTCAAGATCGAGACGCGTTTGTTCGCGTTCGTCCGCGTTCGTCCGCGTTCGTCAGAGATGATAAAAGGATCTTGAGTGAAGCTGGCAGAAATTTGATTAGGAAATTATAATCCGTATACTCTGGCATATTTAGCTCATATTTGGCTCATACGTGACATTGGAACGGCATCTCGATGGTTGACAGAAAGAATGGAAACTGCTGCTGGAAATGATGGAAGAGCAAGCTTTCTCTCTCTCTCTCTCTCTCTCTCTCTCTCTCTCTCTGTCTGTCTGTCTGTCTGTCTGTCTGTCTGTCTCTCTTTCTCTCTCGTTGCTTAAGTCGGAAAAGGCAAATGTCTCACGTGCGTCTGCAACGTAGTTTGAAGTTGCGCAATATCGGCGCGGCATACAGCGATTTTAAATATTTCTCTCCCTTCCACGTGCACCATACGTACACCTTTCCGAGCTTGCTCACGCGGAGGAGAAAGTTTGCCGCTTAGGGGAAAATCGGTCAGTGGTTGGTGACGAAGCTAAAAATTGAACGGTTTTACGTATGAGGGTTCTTGAAACGATTGAACGTAGAATAATTGTCGTGGAAGTATGTAACGGCGTTGAGTAAGCTCTGGGTTACGCCGGATCAAGTGGATATCTCGACTTGTTCAGACAGGTTGTCGCGAAACGTTCAAATACATCTCGATTAGTTTACATTGGGCACACGTTATCATAGTACAGTGCAGCTGACTGACAGAGTGCATGGAACCGATCGATACACGTCGCGCACCATCGTAATAAAAGATGCTCCAAAATCCGGAAAAGCTACGCGTACTG